CGTGGTGCCCCGAGGATGCGCTCTCGTCCCGCGCGGTTGTCGCCCATCAGTCGCGCTTTCACGCCAGTGATTGCTGACGGTGTGGGGTGTGTGCTCACAGTTGACTCCGGGCAGGGTGCCGTGAGTGCTCACACACGCTCCGTGCCCGTGCGAGCGCGACCAGCGCCGCTCCCCCCTCTTGTTCCATTTCACTGCTGCCAGAAATGCAGCGACGAGAGGGAAAAAGCCATCGCCCTACCGCCCCTCCTTGGCGGCGCGGCGGTCCGTGAACCCAGCAGTTTATCCTCTCCCTCGCTCCCTCCCTCGTCGGCGCTGCCGCCGGGGCCGTGCCGCGCGCCCGTCCGTGCAGAGGCTCGGCTCGGTTCGCCTGAGCTCGACACTGTTCAGCTTGGCTCGGTTTGGCTCCGCACCGCTCAGCACGGCTCGGCTAGGCACGGTTCGGCTCAGCTAAACTCGGCACATCCCAGCTCGGTTCGGCTCGGCTGAGCTTGGATCAGCTCCGTTGTGCTCGGCGCGGCCGGGCTCTGTTGGACTGGCTCGGCTCGGCTGATCGCGGCGGATCCCGGCCGGTCTGGGCTCAGCGCGAAGCGGGAGGCGGGCGCTGTTCCTGGAAGAGCCCGGGCCGGGGAGTTGGTCACATTCTTGGCCGGGATTCAATGACTGAGGCAGACACCAACAAACAGAGGGGGGGAGGCGGAGGGCGGGAGGCTGAGCCCGCCTGCATTAGCTCAGCTCTCAGGCACTCTCAGTCACTGCTGGAAAGAGGAGCTGGGAGGATGTGCGCGCTCTCACCGCGGCTCCCCACGGCACAACGAGATCACGGGCAGAAATAAGGGAAGGAAGGCGAACCGAGAGGCGAGGAGCCCTCCCAGGCCGAGCAGAGGGACCACGAGGGGCAGAGGAGCCGCTCCACGCCCGTGCGGAGCCCCCGCGCCGCTTTGGCAGTGCCAAAGATTTGGGCCTTTTCTCCTGCGTTGTTCCTTCCACAGACCGAGCGTTCTGCCTCCTCCTGCTTTTTACTTTCCTCCCCCGCGCCTTCCTTCGGTGGATATGGACAGAAGGGGGATCACTGCAGAGAAGCAGCAGCCGCCAGAACATATTTGAGCCCCGGGTGCTCGGAGCGTGGCACAGACTTCTTGTGTTTCTGTGGGTGGTGTGTGTGTGTGTGAGTGAGTGTGTGTTGGAGGTGTGGGAGGAGGGATTGGTTTGCCTGGGGGTTGGCTGAGGGGGTGAGTGCTCGGATGAAGACCTCTTTTTGCCGTGATTCTGTGCTCCATCGGGGCAGCTTGGAGACTTGGAGGGTTTGAAATTGTAACGCGAACCAAGAGAAAAGAAAGAAGAGAGAGACACGCATACAAAAGGATTTATTTCCTCCTCGTTAGTGGATTGCTGATTGAGGAGGAAAAACACAAGGGTGGGTTGTTTTAATTTGTTCATATATTTTCCTTTAAAAAAATCCCTTAAGTGGATTTGCACCAGGGTGGAAGATAACTGGGGATTTTTGCTGTTTGTTTTGGGAATAGAAACTAAAAAATGGAGACTGTAAGTAGAAGCAGCTTCCAGCCTCATCCAGGACTGCAGAAGACCTTGGAACAGTTTCATCTGAGCTCTATGAGCTCCCTGGGTGGCCCTGCTGCTTTCTCAGCACGATGGGCACAGGAGATGTACAAGAAAGACAATGGCAAAGACCCAGCGGAACCTGTACTGCATCTGCCCCCGATCCAGCCTCCTCCGGTCATGCCTGGTCCCTTCTTCATGCCCTCGGACAGATCCACGGAGAGGTGCGAGACCATCCTCGAAGGGGAAACCATCTCCTGCTTCGTGGTGGGCGGAGAGAAGCGGCTTTGCTTGCCCCAGATCCTGAACTCGGTGCTCAGGGACTTCTCCCTGCAGCAGATTAATTCGGTGTGTGATGAGCTACATATTTACTGCTCCAGATGCACTGCTGACCAGTTGGAAATCCTTAAAGTCATGGGCATCTTGCCCTTCTCCGCTCCTTCCTGCGGGCTCATCACGAAAACTGATGCTGAGAGGCTTTGTAACGCCTTGCTTTATGGTGGCACTTATCCTCCCCACTGCAAGAAGGAATTCTCTAGCACAATTGAGCTGGAGCTCACGGAGAAGAGCTTCAAGGTGTATCATGAATGCTTTGGGAAGTGTAAGGGACTCCTGGTGCCAGAGCTTTACAGTAACCCCAGCGCAGCCTGCATCCAGTGCTTGGACTGCAGGCTCATGTATCCACCACACAAATTTGTGGTCCACTCTCACAAATCGCTGGAAAACAGGACTTGCCACTGGGGCTTTGACTCTGCAAACTGGAGATCCTATATCCTCCTCAGCCAGGATTATACTGGGAAAGAGGAGAAGGCTAGACTGGGCCAGCTCTTAGATGAAATGAAAGAAAAATTTGACTATAACAACAAATACAAGAGGAAAGCCCCTCGGGTAAGTGGTGCCTGTAATTTTAAAGGGGGCGGGGGGAATTTCAGTGACATTCATCGATATACTCAAATTGTTACCAGCTGCTTTTCCTTGGAGTCATTTAGCAGTTTTAATCGTGTTCTCCATTCTCTGTGTGTGTGTGCCACTCCGGAGGAGCAGTGGTCAAGATGCCACCTTTATTTTTCTGGTTGTGTTCTGGCCACGGTGTTTGGAGTTTGTTTAAATTATGTATGTGTATTTGTATATTTTATTATATGTGGAATTTGATCTTTGAAGCCCATCACACTGCTCCAGACTTTATCTGGCAGTGCGTGATTTTGGATCTTTAAGGGCTTCTTCACTCGGGGGTTAAGGCAAGGAAGAAGCCAGAAAAAAGAGGAGGTATTGATGGCTCCAGACACAAGTCCATGCACTTTTCTGGTCGATTGAGTGTTGCCAGGGATGGAGGTGCGGGCTGAATGCTCTAAAAGCTTGTATGGAAATAAAATATGCCTGTTAAGAAAAAAAATTGTGCCGTTAGTGCAGGTTACTGGTTTATGGATGAAGTGTTAGGAACGTGGAGAAGTCCTTGCTCTTAGAGTATCCTTGTGAAGCCTAAATTTCCCCAGCAGACAGGCTTTTGTGTATTGGATTATGTGTACATCCAGCAAATGACTCTGTCTAGGACCAGCTGCAGCAGCTCCTTAAGGTATTCCATGCCGTTCTGTGCTAAGCCAGACAGCTAAAGCACAACTTTTTTAGGTGCCACTTGTTTTTCTTTCAGTCTGAGTCCCCTTTGTATCTCAGAATCCCTGGTGTGTGGGTGGGAGGGTGCCTCGGCATCTGGCACCGGTCCTGCTCCATGGGCAGCAGTGCCGCAAGGCCTCGGGGACTCGCAGACACCGGGGTGTCTGTCTCGCTCCTGGGATGGTGCAACTGGCTGGGGATGAGCAATTCTGCTTCCTGTTCCTTCCCCTCGGTGCGAGGGGAAAGGAAACTCCTGCCTCCCGAGTTCCCCCCTGCAGGTTTGTTAGTTGGGCTCTGCCTTACTGTCAGAGATTTCTGAACTTTGAGTTTTTATGTCTGGAGTGGAAGGGCAATACACAAGACTGGAGACGAGAAGCGATGTTTAAAGCCCACTGTGAAAATTCTGAATTAACTTACTAAATAACTGTTCAAAGGGACACACACACTCTGACTAAGGTAGAGCTTTTATTTATAAAAAAGTGCAACAAAAATACCCAGACAAAACCCGTATTTAAAAAAAAAAAATATATGCTGTGCAAACAGTGCAGTAATTCCACAACCAGACTAGGAGGGAGGCCTAATGAGCCCATCTGACCGGGTGGCACAGTACTGGATTAAGAAGCAGGGTCTCACTCTTCCAGTTTTTTTTACTGGCCCCTGGCTCAGTCCTTGTCCTTACCCCTCCTTTTCCTCCCCGGAGTGTCAGGACGCTGTGACAAAGCTGGGCAGTAATGAGGCACATTATCCCCGTGTTTGGAGGTGGATGTGTTTTTAATGGCTTGTCTATTCTCTGTCAGTCATGTGGCGAGATGGAATGGTGGGATAGATCTACGTGGATGTGAGAGGAGAATATGGCTTTCAATCTGGAGACATTTTTCTTGCCGGGGAAGGAATCTTCTAGGGCATGCTTCGTTTGGGAAGTAAAATCAAGAAATCTCCACATTCTTGTTGTAGAAAGGCCCTATTCCCCTAGCTTGGTCATTTCCAGAGTCTAATTAAAATGAATAATAGAGAAGTGCTTTCCTTTTCTTGCAAGGCTTTTTCAGTTCTCTTCAGCTGCATCATTTATCCAACACCCCAGGCAAGGCTGAAGAAGGAGAACAAGAAAATGTTACTAAACCTTGCCTGTGCTTCATTTTTTGGGGGGACTTTTTCATAGGACCTAATTCAGAACATGAGAAACACTCTTCCCTCACCCTCTCCACTCCAGTCTGTCTGGAGTGCAGCTTTTTCACTTCTTGCAGAGTGAATTGAATATACCTAATTATGAGTGCCAAAAATTGTCTGAGGAAATGGTGGTCATCTGTTTTTTGGAAAATTTTGCCAGAAATCCATCATGATGAAATGCTAAGTCTCCTGCATAAATCCATTTAGAAGGTGGCAAGGAATGAGGTGGGGAAGAATAGAGTGGTGTGTGGTCAGACAGTGGGGTAAAACAGAATGCTTCATCTCATATTAATTTTCAAGGCCTTCAGGACTCTTCTATTAATGCAATGCAGTCCTGAGGAGACCATGACGATGCTGTCAGAGTTTTGTACGCTTATCCTTCCTTTTCCATTTGGCTTAGCCAACGGATGTCATATGCTAAGGTCATTTGTGTTGTAGCAGTATGAGCGGATAATTATGGAGAGATTTAATCAGACTCTAAGATTGGTAGGCTGTGACCAGGGGCAAGTAACATTGGAGTAAAGTTTAGATGCCTAGTGAAGAAATGACAGGATGGTCCCATTCCGTGTGTGTTAAATCCCGTGTGGGTTTTGTGTGTCTGTGGGGCTCTGGCTGTCTCAGGGATGAAAGGGTGAAGCACATATGTCTTTGTGGTGGGCTTCCTTTTTGATGTAGATCTCAGCTTTGCTTTGTTCTGTTTCATACAGAGGTGTTTGTGTGTGCATGGTATGCCATAAGCTGCTGTGTCAGATATTAGATTTTCTGCTTTCAGGAGTGTCCTTTTTTTTTCAGTTTCTCAATTTATTTATTTCTCTGTATGTGTACACACATTGCTTTGTGTGGTGTATTTTCCCTGGGGTTCTGGTAGTATGTTGGTAGCATAGGATGCATATGACCAATTTTATGGCTGTTTAAGCAGCAGTGAGTGTTTTGACCTTTTCATGTGTCTCCATTAGGTTTCTGTGATGAGGTCTGGAGATTTCTGCTAGCACAGCTCTGCCTTTTAAGGGTCTGACTTAAATGGAGGATCTGGGTTGGCACAAACCCCTGGTGCAGATTCAGTGTGGTGGCAGAACTGCCTTTTTTCCCTCTCGGTCTTTCTTTCTCTTTTCTTTTTTTTTTTCCTTGGCATGGTTTTAAAGCTTTGCTACAAGGCGTAGCTTTTCCTAGATATTTCATTCCCACTGCATACTTCTCTCTACATCAAATATCTGTAGTGCATATCCATCCTTCTGTACCAGGAGACGGATGTGTAAATGCAGAGATCTGCTCTCCCTGTCAGCCATGTCGGTTGAACAAGACTCTTGTTGCCTGGTCTTCCCACTTGCAGAGGAACCCTTTGTCCGTACCTGTGTGAAGTCAGCAAAGGGTCTTGGCCAAAAGCTGGAGGGAATTGTGACTGCTGGAGCTCCTCACTAGACCAGGGACCATAAAGGCTTCGGTCACATTCCTTACCCTCTTCTAAAAAATTTTGGGTTTTATGTCCTCCTTGTTCATGCTTGGATAAGTAACTGACCTCCCATAAGGTCTTCCACCTTCCTGCCACTTCCCAAGGCTCTTTCTTTTCTAGAGCCATATGATTTCGCTGTTTTACTTATTTTGTGTCCTTCACTGTGTTCCACCTTCCCATGCAAGATTTGTTGTGCTTTGCTTTCTCTCTGCACCAACACTTCTACTTGTGTGGGTGTCCTGTTTCCCTACCCGTCTCATCTCATCCACCATTACTGGTGTGGAGCACAACCATTGCATTTCTGGGTATTTCTAGAAATTAAAAATGTGAATAACCTGGCAGGGTTGCAAAACAGGGTCCTAGAAATCCACCATGTGCCAAAGTCTTTTCCTGGGCTCAGCTCTTGCTGCCTGATGTATGCGCTCCTGTGGGACACATGTGGCCTCGGTGTGTCTATGGCGCTTCTCTCCACTCCCATGTGACAGAGCTCCCTGCTTGCCTCACATCAGGATGCTCCACTCACACAGTATTTGTTCATATGCAGCCCTGGAGGCTTTGTTGGTTGCTATTTCCAGAAGAGGAGGATGGGTTCAACTGTGTCTATTTCAAACCCTTTTTCTCCAATACTGAACCGAGCAACATTTGACAGCATTTTGAGATTTCCCCACCTGTGTGCCAGACATCTCTACCCTGAGCAGGAGTGTCTGAGCAGGGCCCAGGAGAGCCAGAGCTGTCCTTGCACACGTGTGAGCACACCCATACACCCAGTGCTGCTGTGTTCCCACGGTTCAAGTCCCAGCAGCACTTCTATGAAGTAGCTGGAAGCCAGAAGCAGCATTCTGGATACTGACACACAAATGAGCGCATGAGGCCTCCCACTTCATTTCACAATGCCTTCTAACCCAGCGCTGCCACAACATGCAGCTCGCTCAGCTGGAGGAAGGTTTAGCCAGGTCAAGTGTGCAGCAGAATCAAAGAACCCAAATTGCTGTGAGTGGAACAGCGCGGTGCTGGCACAGCTGGACGGAGGACATGGGCTTTTAGGTGCTGCCCAGTGGTTGCTGTGCTGTGCTTTATGGCCACCTGAAAGGCTGCAGGAGTAGAGCTGCAATTTGTGTCTTATCCTAAAGTCCTGCCTCCTGGCAGCAGTAACCTTTATTTGTTATTAGGTATATCTTGTGTTGGGTGTAGCAGAGAGATTCTGAGTTTATTCCCTGGCAGTCGTGTTCAGACTGCAGGACAGATTTATTCCTCTTGGTAGAAGCTGACATGAAAAATATTGTTGCACAATTTTTGCCCGAGAACTGAGGATTCAGTTGTTTTCCCATGGAAAATGCTCTACCTGATGTTCAATAATTGTTTTAGAGATTCTCCAGTAAAAATTTAGAAGTCCCTAAAACAAAAACATTGACATCTTGGGGCAGTAGTTTAGTTTAGAAGCCTTTTACAGCTTAAAAGTTGAAAAGTGACACCAGCTTGAATGACATCCCGTGTACCCAGAGAGGACAGTGTTTATGCAAACATCAGCAGTTTTTCCCAAGTGTGCGAACAGTTCTACAGATGTAGATCAAGAACAAAGCAGAAGGTACGTGCATGTGTGTTGGACAGAGAGTTTGTTGGCAGTGATCTAATGGTGCCGAGTCACCCATGGCTCTCTTGC